TTTGAAACTTATAAAGAGTGATGGAAGAGCTATGGCATAACTTGAGTATGCAAGTGCAACCGGGAGTCTAACCTATGTTGTACAATTTACAAGACCTAACACAGCATTTGCAATTAGTAAACTTATTCATTTTGCTAGCAATCCCAAGTAAATAATACTGGAAGGTTATCAGGCAAGTTCTTGGTTACTTGAAGAAAACCAAGGATCTAGATCTCCAATATTCTAAGTTTTCTACAATATTAGAAGGATTTACGGATGCTAGTTGGATATCTAGTGTTTGTGAGAATAAATCAGCTAAAGGTTGGGTATTCACCCTTGGAGGAGGTGCGGTCTCTTGGAAATTCAAGAAACAACATGTATTACTCACTCAATTATGGAATCCGAATTTGTGGCATTGACTAAAACTAAAAATAAGCTTAACATCTTAGAAATTTAATGTATGAAATTTCATTGGGAGAAAAGAGTAATTTTTTCATATTTATCTTGTGTGATAGTCAAGCCACTTTAGGTAAAGCATACGATAAAGTATATAATGGTAAGTCTAGATATATAAGTCTAAGACATGACTATGTGAAGAAATTAATCAAAGATGAAACAATTATGTAAAGCCAAATGAGAATTTAGCTTATCCTCCACTAAACCGCTCTCAAAGGAATTAGTGCGAACAACAACTAGCAGGATGTGGTTGAAACTCTATAATTAAATTCACCAATAACGGCAACCCTACCTAACTATACTAACAAGTATACTTTGGGTTCAAATGGTGACAACAAGTCATTCGATAAGTTGATAGATTCAGCACTTATTTTTCCTTTTAAAACCCTGTCATAGGTTACAAGTGCCAATTTTCACGACTAGGACGGTTGAGTTCTATAACTCTTAATAAAATTTAGATCGGTGGATCAAGTATCTCTAAAAGTGACAAAGATATTACAAGAACTTTACCTATATAAACTTCATGATTGTGCCACTTGAATAGAGAGTTTGAGTTTTTCTCTTAAAAGTTTATGAGTAGGAGAAGTGCAAGGCCATAAAAGCGTAAACAAGATTGTGTAAAACTTCGAATTCTTGATACTTGTGTGTGTGATTTCACCGATAACATCATAAGCAATAATAGATTCAAAGCTTTTATGCTACCTAGAATTTCGATGATTACTCTGTGAGATTTATAATAATGTTGGATTCAAATTGAAAGATATCCATATTCTATGCACAAGTATCATTAAACTTAGTTTGAACTCATTTTATATTCCAACAAGTGGGGTTTTGGAATATTGGTCAAATGACAATGAGGAGTGATGATGGAAGTGATAACCATAAAAAAACAAGGTGAAGGCTGAAAGTTGGATTGGGCAACTGGCCAACTGCCCGGCCTTGTGTTGCAATTACAGTGGTTATTTTGTTGAACTGGATGGGTGCCCAATTTTATGCTGGGTGGCCAAATTTAACTGTTGGCTGCTTAAATTCTGGCGTCGTTTTGAAATGTTTCACACCCTTTGGTCTTGATTTTTGCACCTTTTTGTACATGTTGATTATAATTCTATATATATGAGTGATTTTCATAATTGAAAACATATTACAAACATAAAATACATTAACCAACATCCAAAATCAAATATCAAACTAGTTTTTTATAATTTTGTTCTTCAGTTTCTTTTTCCATGTGTGTTTTATTGATTCAAACTTGGATTAAGTTTTATTTACTTCACAAACTATTTGTCATAAAGCCTTCAAGCACTTACCCCAGTGGTGGCGAATATCGTTTGAGGACAGCGATTTAAAATCATGTTCAAACCTTCATTTTGTTGATTTCTTGTTGTTGGTTTTATTTTCGTTCTTCATCAACCTTGTTTAACATTTTATTGTTGTCTCCTCAAAACCAAAACCTCTGAAGCTGGATATAGTGGCGTACCATGGATTAATTAAATCCATATTTGGAGGAACCCCAATTGTACAACTGCCCCCAAAGATGATTATTCGACCATATCGTACGCTTTGCTCATGTTTAATTAAGTACAAGAAAGCCTTTTCTACAGTTTTATTGTTTTTCCATTATATGCAGTGACTCGGAAGTAACAATCACAGTACCAGTATTATAGTCTGTCATATACGAAAGCACTTTGATTTTCAGAAGTTAAGTCAGGCAAAATGTTCTTAAGTCTATTGGCTAGAGATTTTGAAACTATTTAATAGGCCACATTACATAAGCCAATAGGTCTAAAATTAGCTGCATACTCAAGTTTTGCTTTCTTAGGGATCAATTCTAAATTAGAAATTAATGGCTATTACTGACGGACTATTATTCAGCATGTTATTAAGAAATCTGTTTATCCCTTTACATCCTTTTCAAATCCTACTTCAGTAATGTTTTGGTTATAAAAAATGCGCCCAAAATCTTTTTCCAGCACCTTAACAACCTATGTCACCCCCTTCCATTGATCATCCCGATCCTTAGTTACAGAAATTTGGTATATTCAATATCCACTTGATGCTTTGGCATGTAAATGTTTTGTATTTTCGTCGATGGTTGCAACTGAAATTGTTCATCTCGATCCTGTAATGTTGCTATTGACTCATCAAAAGCCCTTAGTTTCCTCATATGATTTGCATTTGTTATGAAACAAAACAAGTTACAAGAATCACTTTGATACCACTTGTCATGAATTGATAGCAAGATAATGACAATAATGAAATAAGTAAGAACAAAAATAAGAATATCAAGATTTATGTAGAAATCTAAGGCGGGAAAAAGCAGCAGTTGGAGGAGGAGAAATTCACCATATTCAATAGCAGTTGTATTTATAACAAGATCTTAATACTCTCCATTAAAATCTAAAACTCTAAAGATATTGTATGAATATCATGGGAACAATACAAGCCGTGCTTGTGTATATAAACCCTAGAAACCAAGTTGTAGATCAATAAGAGTCCAAAAGTGCTTCAAAACATGAAATGGGCCTGGGCTGGATAACCTTGTTGTTAGAGCGGCAGCAAGTGACAACTCAGCCGCTCGAGCTCTAAGTGGGCGATGGGCGCGACAAGTGAGCAACAACTCTCTCTAGAAAATATACAGGCATTGCTTGAGAGGCTAGCTAGTTACAGGCTAACGAAAATGCGATGACATTTCTTCCAAGTCATAATTTTAATCTTTTCAAGATCACTTCAACCAAAACTTGAATAATTGCTAGAATTTGGGTCAAACTACAACAACATTATTTGGAGAGATTTATAAACGTGCAAACTTATCACTTTGCGTTTTGAGTTGCCCTCAACGTTCCCAAAATTTTGTTTATATGGTTAAAGTTAGGATATAGAAGTAAAGCTTCTATTGGATAAAGGACAAGGGGTTACGATATTTTGCACTTTCTGCCACAAATCTCCATGCTTGTTATCTTTACAATCAGACTAACAAAACTAATATGCCCCTGCAAGTAGGATCTCAACATGACCTCCAACTCATTTGTCTACATCAATATTAATCTTTCACTCTTCAGTTGCTATGCACAACAAAAATACTCTACATCCAACGCCCATTCACTAAATAGATAGGTTTAGACACAAAGACAGTTTCGGAAAAAATCTACAAAGAACACATGACGTAAAGTTTCAACATAGGCAACTCATGGCTTTCAAAGGTTTAGCATTGTAGAGTCCATTTTTAGGTCATTATCATGGAGAGCTGAATTCTACCAAGAATCTACATTGCAAAAGTATAAATAAGCACTCTTTCTTCCAAGATTTCTTTCCTTGATATTTACTTATACATGCGCAATGAAATTTAAAATATTCCTTCAATGATCTTCTTTGTGTTTAAATAAAAATCTTGATTAAAATTTACCTTTAGTAAATTCTTCAAACTTATTTTCAAATCTTGATCACGAACAATCACGATCTCTGCTAAAGCACTCAAACTCTAATTATTCATTTATGAATGTTTAAGTGGACTTAATCAACCATTAAACTTTAATTTTCTATGATGTTTCAACATGACAGTTATTTAATTATCAAGCACAGGAAACAATCTAATTAATTAATTCTTCAAAAGTCCCATACTTGTTAATTAATTAATTCTTACTTTCATTCATCTGGTTCTCGTATTTTGTGTGTGATTTATTAGATTCCGATCATTATGTCGAGCACCGACAATTATTATTTTGATATAATCTTATTAATTTATCGTTAATTCACCTAAATTAATCTATTCACATCCGTCATCCTCGATTGACATCTAACAATGGTCAAGATGATACACGTGATGAAAAATATTACGTGGTGTGACAAGCAAACTATTTCATTTATCGTGGAACTATAATCCATTTGTCAATATAACCCGATCAATTACGAGACATGGAGATGTATTAATCTCAATTAACCAATCATATTTTTCATTCCACTCTTAAATCAATAATTATCAAAATTCTTTTCAACTTATACTTACTTTCGTCAAGGGTTTCAATATTAGCGTAAGCGGAGGAAACACGGGTCATTATCTCTTACTATCTAAAAGTGACTAATTCTTTATTGATTATTCACAACCTTTATATGATTTTTGTTATACCCGAACAATGACATATTCACAACTCTTGGTAAATCAACATCCAATATCAGCAAAAGTATGTTGTCCCTCATATAAGATACTATGACGACTTCAATTCGAAAGATATATTCAACTACCGAATTTTAAATATTAACAACTGACACTGAGATATGTATCCTCGTAGAATCTTTGCAGTGGATTTCCAATGTTTTGTTCTCTTAGCGAAACATACATATATCTTTTAAATATAATCATATTTTAACTTGTGAGATCAACTACTCACTTCATAAGTGAGATATGGACATCCTAATCTTTCAGTAATAATGACGTGTATCGATCATGAGTAATTTAATATTCAATTATATGTAACTTGAATCTTACAATCATAATTCCTTGTGATTAACAAGTTATCAAGATTCGAATCTATGAACTTTATCAATTTAGTTTATTGGAATAATAATTCAATTAAATAATAGATCTGCCATAAATAAAATGCATCAATCAACATATTAAAAATATTTACATCTTAAAATCGATTGTATCTAAAACATAATACTTGCACTTGTCTATTCTAGTAAACAATAATGCTATTTAGCACCAGTGGTGTTAGAACGCCAGTTTAGATTGATATTAATTAATAAATTCAATAAAAAATAAAATTAAGTGATTCATTTTATTATACTTTTCACTTAATTTCACATTAGTGTCACTTTTGATATTTTAACATCAATTATACTAAATAAAATTACTCTTTGATTAAAAGGTTCAAATAAGCCATGTTCTTCAATGATGTACAATGATTTCTCGTTGTCAAGTTCAAAAAGTCAAAAATCCATGCCAACTAATACCTCAAACCCACTTATTGAGAGGGAAAAAGGATATTCAGACCAAATAGGTGTTCGTGATCCTCAATAGTACAATAAACACCCTTTTTTCTATCATGGTTAGGCAGACAAGTATTATGTTGGTTTAATAGTGGTAGGAAATTGACCAACAATCTCGTTAACCCTACTATAAATAATCAATTTTAATGTATTCCAAAGATCATATTAAACGGAAACAATCGGGTCAATATGGTTCTACTTAATTTTTATTCTTAAAAACAAACATTTTTGATGTCCATAATTTTGATATGATTTACGCAGAATTAGTCTATTGTCATTGGTGGACAAAATAAAAAATGTGCCAACCGTTAACGTGACATTGCCTCGTCAGTAAGTCAAAAGGTAAAATGCTCAACGATGACGATTTGACTTGCTGTCATCACTGTTGAATTGTTAACGATGATGACTTGACTTGTTCCACGTCAGTTTTAGACACAATAAGCTCATGCTCGCAGTAGGCAGGGGATCATCCGTAATGATTTATGATGTTTCTAAAATGCCACAACATAGGAAATTGAACAACACATTGTGTGTTAAGGTCCAACATTTGTACTAACTAATAGTTGGGGGCGGAAAAGGTAAAATAGACGTACATATTCGGCCGCTTTTGTTTCTCTGTTGCGTTGCTTAATAGTGTTACTCTTCACCTCTCTCTCTCTCTCTCTCTCTCTCTCTCTCACACACACACACACAGAGACAGAGACATTATTATATGAATATGGTGCTTGGGGTGCTGAAAACCCCACGTTAAGGACCCATCTCTTCATGGATTCCTTGCTAGTGCCTCAATTTTCACCCCTCGCATCTCATTGGTACTCGTATTACCCCACCACATCCCTCCCCCTTCATCTTTATGTATACGCATGTATATGTGTATATGCATGACTCTCTTTATTGTGTTTCTGGGACTGACAAAATCTCTTTCAGGCTGAGAAACACCAGCTTATGGCGTAATGCGGGCATAGTTTTTTGTTATTGAAAGAATTGTAAGCCATGGATGCTTCTTCTTTGGAGGGTAAAAAATCTCTCTCTCTCTCTCTCTCTCTCGTCTGTTTTTTCTTTTCTTTTTTTCCTTTTTTTTTTTAAATTTTTAAATTTTTGGTTTTTGTGTTCTTTTTTTTTCATAAAAAACATTAAGCGTTTCGATACTTTCGATGAGAAAATTTTGGATCTTTATTTACAGATATTGTGGATAATGGGTCATATAATTCATCTTGGATAATGGGTCATATAATTCATCTTGATCTGTTTGTTAGACTTATTCCATGCGTGATTTGGCTTTTTATTTTAATGGATTTTGGGATTATTTTTTTTTTATTAAACTGAGACAATCCACCCACCCACGCACGCGCATACAACTCACACACAGACACAGACACAGACACAGTAAATTTTTGCTTGTCTCTAGCTTTATTATGCATTCATTATAAGTAATTATGTCAGAATTTATGCTTACCTAATTATTTTAGAGGATGCCTATAAGAGAGGAAAGAATGAAAATTCTTAAATATGCCAAAGAAATGCCAGCTGTTTTGCTGTATTTTTACTTTGAAGACTGGTTAACTAGATTGTTGAAATGTATTTATGTATAATTTTGTTGAAATTGACGTTTTCTTCTTAAAATATTGAATTGATTATTCGTTGTGGCACCTGTTGCGGAAGTTCATCGTGGGGGCATTATGGAAGTCAAAGGTGAAGTTTGTGTTACTCCGATGCTTTTTATTGAAATAGTTTATACCACCTAATTGCTATATCATATTCGTTCACTAGTTTGAATAGGCTAATCTTTTTCAATTTTTGACGTTTTTTTTCTTGAATCTTGAATTTGGGGTTTTGAGCGAAGGCTTTGGTTGCAATGTCCTGATTTATGTGCTCGGAAGAACTGTTTTTTGGACATAAATTTGGAACTTCTTGCCAATATTTTTTCTGTTACTTGTATTTCGATTACCGTTAATCCTTCTTCTTTCTTTTCTTATGGTGATTGTGCTGTAGCCAAAGAATCACATATCGTATTAAGAGAGATTCCACTTGCAGTCTGGACCAAAACCTTTTAGATTTCTAGCATTTTGCTAAGCAAATCATCTAGTTTACTCGTAATTGAATGCACCAACTCAATGGAAAAAACTAGAAGTCTGCATGCTATCTTACAATGTCTCACCAGTATTTGTATCTTTTCCTCCTCGTGGGTTTCGACAAATAACTAATGATTGCATTACATGTTCTATTAAAGAGACTATACAGCTGCTAACTCGAGCATTTTTTGGCTCCAGAGTTGGTATTTGATTCATCAAAGTGCAGTAAGTTAAGCTTGGAGCAAAAGAGAGTAGTAGTATATGAGTTGTCGAAGTGGTCAGATGGTGCAGCAGATATTCTACAAGCATGGAGCCGTCAAGATATCCTGCAAATCCTCTGTGCAGAGCTCGGGAAAGAAAGGAAGTATACGGGCTTAACAAAGTTAAAGATAATCGAGCACCTTTTGAAAGTCGTGTCTGATAAGAAATCCCTGGAGCAAGGAACTGCAAGTCTCCCTGAAAGACAGCCTTTATTAGACAACGGTGAAATGACTCCCAAACGGCAAAGGAAATCTGATAACCCAAGTCACTTACTTTCTGCAGCAAATACTGATGCATCTAACATTGCTGATGGTGATTTAATTAATACCACTTACTGCAAAAATTCAGCTTGTAAAGCTAAACTGAATCGTGAAGATGTGTTTTGCAAAAGGTGTTCGTGCTGCATTTGTCGACAGTATGATGACAACAAGGACCCAAGCCTGTGGTTAGTTTGCGGCTCAGACCCTCCATTTCAAGGCAAGTCATGTGGCATGTCGTGTCACCTTGAATGTGCCCTGCGGCACGAAAAATCTGGGATCACTAATAATAGGCAGGATAAGGGACTTGATGGGAACTTTTGTTGTGTATCTTGTGGAAAGGTGAATGATTTGCTCGGGTAAATGTCTGTCCTTGGTTCCCTCTTTTTTCCTTAACTTTTCATTTCCATGTACTATTACTGCAAAATTACAAAACTTGGGTTGCCTTGCTTTTCTGTAGGCACTCATCTTTTTTTCATTTACTTAATTGTTATATCTTATATAACATGAGGAATCAAAATGATTCTAGCGAATTTTTTCATCTTATAAAATAATATTATGCAGCTCATGGAGAAAGCAACTAACAGTGGCTAGTAATACGAGGCGTGTGGATATATTGTGCTATAGACTCTCCTTAAGCCGAAAAATTCTTGCCGGAACTAAGCATTACAAAAATCTATATGGAATCATTGATGAAGCAGTGAAAAAGCTTGAAGAGGATGTCGGTCCTTTAACTGGTTTACCTGTGAAGACAGCAAGAGGAATTGTAAACAGGCTTTCATCAGGACCAGAAGTTCAGAGATTATGTGCTTCTTCAGTAGATTCTCTCAACTCAATAATTTCTAACAGGGAGTCCGATATACCTTCTGGTACATCTCTCTATTTCTCTCTCCCCATTTTCGAACACTTAATTCCCTATTGAATTTTTTCGAATGCTGGTTCCATTTCGAGGCAAGCTATAGCCATATCGCTCATTCTGGGATTAAGTTTTCTAGGTACCACTATGCTTGCTGCAAAACTTGTCAGATTTGAAGATAACAACATTAGAGAGAGAGAAATGCATCAAGCCCAGTTCCAGACAGGTAACTCTCAAAGTGAAGTAGCAAATATAAATTCTACGAACGTGGAAGTAGAGCAAAGTCAAAGTCCGGCCACCAACTGTAGCGCCCTTTCTAATCCTTCTTCAGTGGAAGATGAAACTAACAATGTCATGCCATGCAGCAACATGGACAAGACTAGAGGTGATAATTATGTTGCATTTCGCAGAAGTGACAATAAATCTTCTTGTGCAAATTTTCTTTATGACACCATCAACTTCTCAGAGAGCCAAAAGGAGACTAGTAGAGATGTAGTCTCTTTTTTGGACAAGGAACAAAAACAGAACAATGATGCTTTAAATCTAAAAAACAAAGACACTTCAAAAGTACAGATGGTTGAGAAAATGAGCACTGGTAACCTGTCAAATATCCCCAGTCGGGCTGGTTTGGAATGGGTGCCATATGTGGATAGTTCAGAAAATGGCTTGCCAATCACCCCTTGCAAGTTGGAGAATGCGAAGGATGGGAATGGAAGGAACAACAACAGACCTAAACGTGGCGGGAGGAGTGTGGATAATGCATCTGCAAGGGAGAAGGAATCCTCGAAGAAGAAATTTGGTGAAAGAGATGAAGATTGTACTGAAATTGGAGACAAGAATTTTGAGTATTACGTCAAAGTGATCCGATGGTTGGAATGTGATGATTATATAGAAACAACTTTTAGGCAGAAATTTTTGACTTGGTACAGCCTGACAGCAACACCTCAAGAGGTGAGAGTTGTGAAAGTATTCATTGATACATTTATTGAAGATCCAGCATCTCTTGCTGGACAACTTGTGGACACATTTTCTGATGTTATTTCAAACAAGAAAAGATGTTCAACAGTGCCATCAGGGTTTTGCTTGAAGCTTTGGCATTAAGAGATTCAAGGATTTAGTATGCAAACCCAATGAGATTTGCCTGCATCATTCTTTGGAAATTAGAAAAATTATCTATCATACTTCATTCAAACTGTTATCTGCCATGTTTGATATTTAGGATTTTGCAGTTCTATATATGTGGTACCATTGGAACGAAATTTGCCCTCTATTTATAAATAATTTCGTCTGGGCATGTAGCTTTGAGGTTAGGAATATATCTATAGTATAATGGAGGAGATATGTGAGTGGAATTTGATACAGGAATTTAGCATGATAAAAGGAACTAGAGTCTGAAACAAGGGAAATTCATTTTTCTCATGTGCATTAAATAATGGGGACTCAAATATACTCATGTTGATTAAATACCAGAGTACTGAAACTTTTCACCTCAAGATGGAATGAATTACATGATCACATGTGTACATGTATACTGGTTAATGCACCTCTAATGCCTTTTGGCATTTCTAGTGTCAAGTACGACTATATAATTTAGAGTGTGTTTGATTATCAATATTTTTCATGAAAAATATAATTTATCACCCAAATTTCTACTTTTATGCTATTTGATTGATATTTTTTCATGAAAAATATTTTTCTACTTTTGATCACATGATCATATTTTTCATGAAAATACAGAAAAATATTTTCTTTAGAAAGAGTATATTTTTATTTTTTAAGTAATTCAATCTTTCTCTCTCTCATCTCATCTATTCTCTCTCTTCCATATACTTATTGATAAAAAATGGACAAATATAATATTTTTTAAGTTGAAAATAAAATCAATCACACACATTTAATAGACAATTTTCATGTAAATAATTTTTAGACAATTCAATTATCTCGAATTTATTTTCTTTTTATATAAATTTCATGCTTACAATCAAACAAACCATTATTGTTGAATTCAAATCAACAGCAATGGTGTATGCTGAAAAATGCTAAATGCGGTGCGCTCGATCCATCATTATAAATTTTTTATTGATTTGGAGAAAAAAAAATACAAAAAATACAAAAAAAAAAAAAAAAAAAAAAAAAAAAAAAAAAAAAAAAAAAAAAAAAAAAAAAAAAAAAAAAAAAACTGATTTTGGAAATGTTAACCTTATTCATGAACATTTTCTACTAGCTTTTGATTTCCTATAGATGTTATTCTACACGTGTACTTATGATTGCATAGCTGCTCAAGTTCGATTAGTAATGAAAAAAGGATATTGGGCGCAACCAGAATGGCATCAACTGATCACATCTAGTACAATAATGCTATCTAGCATCAATCTAAATTATCACATTTGATAAGTTCAATTAAATGAATCATTTGACATTACATTTAAGTAAATCTATCATTTAATAATATACAATTACCATCTAGACTTATGCTTAACATCAATGGAGCTGAATAATATCACTCCATCTACTAAGGTATCTTATTTAAAATATCACCGCACCAAAGCCGTCTGCACAAGACAGCCTTCCCATGTCTTCAACGAACTCCCAAACCGACTCCACTTACCCCCACGTCTTCATCCAACAACATATTGCCTAAAACTTCACAACTCGCACTGAAATTTACACATCTACCATTACATACAACTACTTCTCTACATACAACCATCTACTGTCGGTGCTACGCTTAAACCAAAGAAACCTACAATTGCAATTGTCCAGGCTCAAATCACCTTCAACTGCGCAACTGTACAGGCCTTAACTTCCCCCAACCCGAGTCTCCGAAATTTTGCAAACACCCACCAACACGACTACAACTCTTGTCATCTACCTCTACTTCAATCTTCATCATACCACCATAAGATTATCCCATGTAGATTCCCCACGATATATGAACCAGCAATTGCATACTTCAACCACAGCTCAAGCTACAAAATTCAATGACCCACGTAACTCCATCCACAGAGAATCCACACTGTAGCCACTTTGTCATCGAACGACAGCCGTCTCAAGTTCCGTCGCCTCCGGTATCGAGCAATTCGCATCGCCCAAAACTTCCACCTCGCGATCGTCACCCCCAAATGTAGATTTTGTTTGGGTTGTAGTCTATAGTCCTTGCTTTTATTTTTAATTTTTTGTATTTTGGGCCTCAATTGCTATGTGTACAGGGAATGATGGGTAGTTTGGACATCTAGTAGTGTTTGGGCCTTAGCTTGTACTTGTTTGCTTATTTGATTTTGCAAGTTAAACAAAAAAAAAATAAAAATAAAAATAAAAATAAAAAAAGAGAGAGAGAAGTTATTTTTTTTAACATCATTTTCAAGTATCTTTTTTATTTCAGTTGATTGGACACAGCTTCTTCAAATGAACGAAAAGGAAGTCATAATTTTAATTTATCCTCAATTATATTGATATTTATTTTGAATTGCATCGGTTAACTTTTGTACTGTAGTCTTTACATAAAATTCACGTGATTAAACTCCTAGACTTGCTAACTCTCTTGACTTGCTATATTTCTACCTTTACCATATTTATTTTATTCACTTCTACCATATTTATTTTACGTGTTTTAGGTATTGACTAGTGTTTGACCCTCACTTTTTTTTATTTTACATAGATCAGTAGTATCCACTTGACATATTTAGATTTTCATAATCCCCAAAAATTTAAAAAAATAATAAGAATAATAATAAAATTTAAATGTTCAAATTTTTATTTTCATTTCTTGAACTAGTTGTTTATTGATCTCGTCATTCACTGTCTTTAGCTAGTGTTACATTACATGCATTTGCGAAGTGGTCATCTTGTCATACCCAGTTCCAATATTTTGACTATGCACCCTTCTCAATTTGATGCCCTTACTCGACAATTAGCTCAACTATAGGCTCAATTAGCAACTGTTCAAATTGAGGTGACTGCTACTCCTGAAGAGAGTAGAGAACTAGTTGCTAAGGTGAACAATTTAGGACACACCTCTCCCTCAACCGACACTGAGAACTCTGAAGCGTCTCATAACATATCCTATCGTCATCGATATGGTGGTCAACAGTGTGTTTGTCACGGACGTAGAAATGGGGAACATGAGCGCAATCATAAACGAGACCATCACCATTATGGTACTCATTCACCTCCTCTATGAGGAGCGTTACTTTCGAAACATCAAGTTAGACGCTCTTACTTTCGATGGCTATTTAGATCCTAGAGTTTTTACACAATGGATTAGAGACATGGATCGTTTCTTTTCATGGTATGGAGTTCCAGAGGATCGAAGATTTCAATTTACCAATTTGAAATTAACTGGTATTGCCCAACTCTTTTAGGAAAGCGTTGAGGACCTTCTTGAGAGGTGTCATGCACCTCTCATTGGAAGTTGGGAGGAAATGAAGCGTCGTCTTCAAGAGAAGTATGTACCCCACTCTTATCATAGCAACTTGTTGGACCAGTGGAATGCCCTCACACAAGGAAATCGTACAGCGACTAACTATGCTACTCAATTTGATGAGTTCCGAATGCGATGCCACATCGTCGAAGATAAAACTATGACTTTAGTAGGTTCAGACAGGGTCCAAGAGATGATCTTCGACGTGAGCTTGTTGTTCGAGGTGTCACCACTCTCGATCACGCTTATTCCTTGGTTCGGGATTACGAGTCGATTACTAAGACTCCGTATGGAAGGCGTAGTGATAACCGTCCATCAATCTCATCGGCACCACCTCCTCCAGCCAAATCTCTTCTAGAACCTCCACCGTCTAATGCACTCCCTACTTTAGACAATAAAGGTAAAGCTCCTGAAACTTCAAGAACTTCTTCTCATTTGCATTGCTTCAATTGTAAGGGCTTCGGCCATATCTCATCTAGATGTCAAGTCGAGCCTTAGTTATTGACGAGCGGAAGGATGTCATTGGTAAGCCTTTAGAAGATCAAGTCTATGAGCCTAACTTTGAAGAGTTTGATGATTTGGGTGATAATGAGGATGCCTTCTTAGGTTGCCTTCGTACCCTTCTTGTAGGTCCAGGTCTTGCTTCTCTGGCCCCCGACACCTCTCGGTTGAGTGTAGTACGTGGTACCCTTACCCAACGTAAGGATGTCGATGATTGGCGTCGTCATGCCATTTTTTATACTTACATCAAGATCAACGATAAGGGTTGTAAGATTACTGTTGATAGTGGGAGTTGTATCAACGCGATCTCTATGACCACAGTGTCCTGTCTTGGGTTGAAGTCAGTCCCACACCCCTAACCATATAGTGTCTCTTGGATTGACACTTCATCTATAGTTGTGAAAGAGCGTTGTTTGGTGCCTTTCTAGTTCCTTGAGCATAAGGATCATATATGGTGCGACGTCATCCCTATGGATGTCGAACATATCATTCTTGGTCGACCTTGGTTGTTCGACCTGAATGTAACTATCCATGGGCAATCAAATTCATGTTTCTTTTTATTTAATGGAAAGAAGATTCACCTTAATCCTTTACCACCAAAATCTATTAACTTACACCAAGCCAAAAAAAAATTGTCTAAAGGAAAGGATTACATGTGATTAGTCGTACAGAATTTGAACAGACAATCGTAAATGACTCAATTATATTTGCTGTGATTGTTATGGAAGTCCCGTTCGATTCCCCAACAGCGACCCTTACTAAAGTGCACTCACTTCTTCAGGAATTTAATGATGTATTTCCTGACGACCTCCCTGATCTATTGCCTCCTTTACGAGATATTCAACATGCTATAAATTTGGTTCCAAGTTCATCTCTCCCAAATTTGCCTCACTATAGAATGAATCTTGCTGAACATGCCGAGCTCTAGAGACAAGTGGGTGAACTCCTCCACAAAGGCTTCATCCGTGAAAGCTTAAGCCCTTGTGTAGTTCTCGCCCTTCTGACACCTAAGAAAAATGGTTCTTGGAGGATGTGTGTTGATAGTTGCGCTATCAACAAAATCACTATCAAGTATCGTTTTCCCATCCCTCGACTTGATGATATGCTAGATATGATGGCCAGTGCCACAATCTTCTCCAAAATCGATTTGAAGAGTAGATATCATCAGATTCGGATCCGCCCAGGAGATGAGTGAAAAACTGCATTTAAAATAAAAGATGGTCTATAGGAGTGGTTGGTCATGCCTTTTGGACTAACCAATGCTCCAAGCACTTTTATGAGGGTGATGACACAGGCCATTTGACCTTTCATGGGCAAATTCATTGTTGTATATTTTGATGACATTCTCATATACAGCAAAAATAGGGAACAACATCGAGATCATCTCACGCAAGTTTGCTCTACACTACATGCAATAAGCTTGTATGTCAATGTGAAGAAATGTTCTTTCTTCACTGATAGAGTTGTGTTCCTCGAATTCATTGTTTCCGCTATGGGAGTATCTGCTGTTCCTGCGATGGTTTGGGCAATCGTTGATTGGCCTGACCCCAAGAATGTACATGATGTTAGGAACTTTCATGGTCTAGCTACTTTT